ATGTCCTCGGTCACATACTGGTGTGTGATCTGCAGAATATTCACCTCCTTGATAAGGATGGTCAATTCTTAACTCTACTAAACACGCCAAAACAAGTATCTTATCCCATTAGTGTATGTGTGGATGATGAGAACAATCTTTATTTGGGACAAGATAACAAAACAGTTAAAGTATTTAAATATCTCCAATCAATGAAAACAGAATAGTGTGCTACTGTATTTTTCACTAGAATTTTATGTATTTTTTATTTATTCTCTGTATAATGGCGGATATACTGTACATTGGCAGATATTCCCGATGGTTTAAATTTCGCTATATTCGCGATTTATCAATTTTCCGCAAAATTAAACCCAGCGTGAATGTTATTATTAGTTTAAAAAACATATAAATGCTTATATTTATACAAAGTTTAAAGGACAAGATAGGGTAAGACCAGTATTTGGCCCCCGATTTTGGATGTCTTTCAGAATGGTCCAACAGTTTATCCATAAAGACCTATTCTATATGAGTATTGGTTTTTAGATTTAGAATATACAGGGGTCACAGTGAGGTCAGGAACTAGGTCATTTTTCGAAATTTCTCATTTTTATGCAGATTTTCTTCAAGTTTACAACACATTTTCTTTCGGAAAACATAGAGCACACACTTGCCTACCTACCATATTTATATATTTAATAAACTTATATCAGATGCAGTTTATGTGTAAAAATCTCAGATAGGCAAGCTTGTGCTCTGTGTTTTTCGAAGAGAAATGTATCCCAAATATGATGAAATTCCACCAGAATTGAGGAAATTCTGAAAAATGCCCTATTTCTGCACCCTCTAGTAGCTTCCATGAAAACTTTGAATCAAAATTACTGCTTGTTTTAAAGTAAGCATCATTTTAACTTATTAACTACAAACTATCTCAATTTTACCTCTTTCTGATTTTTACATCAAATAAGGGGCCAGATTCGACTGTTACCCTATATTGTCCTTTATGTTTTGCAGTAAAATTAAAACATTCGCAATAGTTACTTTTTGAAATATCATGAAATTTTAACACCATGGAATGAAAATGATTTTCAGTAATTACTAGTGGACTTTTACGAGAAGCACTGACTTCTACAGTTGACGTTTACTTGGACATTTAAACTTGTATCATGTACGGAAGTACAGAATTGAAAATGCATAAGAAAACCTTTCTTGTGGTCATAGGTAAGGTGTTAGGGGCACTAACTTGTGAAGACCGGGAGCTGAGGGTAGGGTCGTTGTCGTTTTCTTCAAGGACAACTTATATGTGCATTGAAATAACCGTTATTTCCGTTTAATTAAATGTTGAGCTAAATATTTATATCGTAAAGGAGCTACCATACATAGCCCTAGAGTAAAAGTAAGCGTCAACTGTAAAAGTCAGCGCTCCTCGTAAAAGTCCAGTATTCAATTATTTATTTTACAGGTGAGATGGGATTTTTAATAAAAATGACTGCAAAGCAAAACTATGAAAATAAAAGTCTATTTCATTTAAAGTATCAAATGAAAAAAAAGTATGCCTTACTATTGCCGAAACAACTTAGATATCTTCTCATAAATTAATATGAGGTGTTTAACTTGTAATCACGAGAAAAAAAATCTTATTATTCCAAGAAAATTACATGTATCATTGGTCCCTGTCTGTCCATCAGTCTGTCCTACTTGGTTTTCCACGTTTTTTTCTAAACGCTTGCAGATATTGAGCTGAATTTTGGTATGTGAGTGTATCTTTAAGAGTTACAGATCAAGTTTGAATTTCGTTTCACTTCATTGAATTTTGACAGAATCATGGCATTTTTAATTTTTCATAATGGTTTAAGATTGGGTTTGTGCTGCACTAAATTCCGAAGGTCAAGATGGTAAATATGAAGCGAGAAAAGACATAAATTTTGCTTAATGTAAAGTGACATCCTAAATAAAAAGTGGAACCCGGTAGGGAACATGTATTGCTTATGCAAAACCTCAGAATGCTTGTTTGTAGCTCTCATCATGTCCCAATCCATATATAAAACTGTTTGGTATATAATAAACGTTTCATTTATTTTGTTTCTATATGATACATCTTAATATTGATCTTTATACATGTACCATGTACCATTAAAATAATTCAATGCAGAAATAGCATCTGCTAGTAATTCAATGATTCTCCATTCCCTACATAATAGTATCTTTTGATCATAAGGTCGAAGTATTAAAAGCATTAAAAAACCTCCATAACCCCTGTCTTTAACATTTCTCACTGTGGCTATATATGCAGCCTACATCAGTTTGTGATACAGTGGTAGTCAAACATTGTGAGTTTAGATCTGAGCTGCTGTATATCACTGATACACTGGTGGTCAGGGTAGTTACAGTCTTTGACAGGTCTCACAATATAGCTCTGTTCTCTGTCACGTTTGTCTGTGTTAGCTTTCTTCTGGGAAGGTTCCACTTCATCACCCTTCCCCTCTACCTGCTCCACCTCTGGGTTTCCAAGAACCTGGAGCACGAATAGCAGATTAAAATCAAATGTGAAATATCAAGACTTTTTTAAGAACTTGAAACACATTTTTGGGTGAGGGAGATATATAAATTAACAGCAACAAATTTAAGGGACTCGGACCCTCAGCCAGGAAGGACAACTCTTTAATTTTATAATTTAATTCAAAAAGTCTTTAAATTTAGCTTGAAAATTAAATATTTTCATGCAATAATTTTCATTATATGCCTCTCAATGTGCATCAAGGTTCTTTGCAAAGCTCCATAAATCACTTCTAATTTCATATCATGTTAATAAAAATTGGTATCTAAAAATGCTTTTTTGGGGTTAAAAATTTCTACTTTTAATTAGGCCTTTCTGAGAAGTTCAAAGAATCTTGAAGCACATTGAGAGGCATATAATGAAAATTGTTGCATGAAAAGATTTCATTTTCAAGCTTCATTTAAAGACTTTTTGAATTAAATTATAAATTAAAGAGTTGTCCTTCCTGGCAGAGGGTCGGAGTCCCTTAACTGTGAAACCACTAAGCTTAACATATATAAATCTCTAATTTGAATGTATTCTTAATAAAAGTTTTCCAGAATGTGACAGGAAATTGTGAGATTTTAATACCTGAAAGCTTATCCTTTTCTGATTTTCTCCCAGATACTGTTTGTACCAGTTCTTCAGGTCTTCTAGTGTTAATGTCCTCAGTATAGCTACCTACAGTAAAAGCAAATCAGAGCGTATGAACATTCATACAGGTCTACAAATGCCTACAAAAATGTTATAATTGCACTTCAGACTTAAAATGTGCAAAAAAAATTTTTCAGAAAACATAAATAAAACTGCCTTTTATAAATATCTAAGCTTTACAATACCGACCTCTTTCTCTTGTCTGTCAAACACGTAGTTTTGTTCCTTACACTCCCCCCAGTTTCTGTTGACTTCCTCCTCTAACTGAGTGTCTTCTGTAAGCTTGGCTGCTATCAGAGACTCCACCTTAAATATAACACAGGGAGGATCTTATATATACCACAGGGACTTCAGATCAAGACAACAAGGACCTTAAATATAACACAGGGACCTCAGACCAAGACAACAAAGATCTTAATTGTACCATAGGGACTTCAGATCAAGACAACAAAGATCTTAATTGTACGACAGGGACTTCAGATCAAGACAACAAAGATCTTAAATACACCACAGGGACTTCAAACCAAAACAACAAAGATCTTAAATATACCACAGGGACTTCAGACCAAGACAACAAAGATCTTAAATATACCACAGGGACTTCAGACCAAGACAACAAAGATCTTAAATATACCACAGGGACTTCAGACCAAGACAACAAGGATCTTAAATATATCACAGGAACTTAAGGCCAAAACAACAAAGATCTTATTGAAATATACCACAGTGACTTCAAGACAACAAGGATCTTAAATATACCACAGGGACTTCAGAACTACACAACAAGGGTCTTAAATATAACACAGGGACTTCAGACCAAGACAACAAGGATCTTTAATATACCACAGGGACTTCAGACCAAGACAACAGGGATCTTAAATATAACACAGGGACTTCAGACCAAGACAACAAGGATCTTAAATATACCACAGGGACTTCAGACCAAGACAACAAGGATCTTAAATATACCACAGGGACTTCAAGTAAAAACAAAGATCTTTTATATACCACGGTGTCTTTAAACCAGGACCACCAAGATCTAAATATACCGCTGGGATTAAGACCGAAACAAAAAGGTAGTGAGCTTACTCAAACAACAGAATTTAATTTGTGCTTTACTGCTTTATAGCAATTACCAATGTATCAAACTCCTCTTTGGACATTTCATCCAACATCTCTTTGAACTTGTTCAGGAAATCCTCAATATGGTTGTCAACCTCATGCATCCTACAAACATTATAAGAATGTAGTTGATCATTTTTTAAAAAATATGTCATAAAAATTTAATTTACTGTGGTAACAATTAACCAAATCAATGAAAAATACTCTTTATAACATCAACTATTTAGACTCAGAGACGATTACTGATTTAAAAAAAACATTGGCACTATATGATTGTTTTGTATCAGTAACTATTTTACATTAATATTTATTTGCAGTGGGATAAACGTAAACTAAAGTCTGGTATACACATATAATAAATCTTACGTGAACTTATGGGCTTGGAACTGAACAGCGAGTCCCATGATGCCATTGGTGACCAGGTTCTGGCAGTATACAGTGTAACCCAGCTGTAGTTGTGTCCTCAGTACGTCAAAACACGGCTCCTGCATTCTTAACTATAAAAAAGAAATACTGGTTTTTTACATGTGGAGTGTAAAACACGAGGGATTTCCATGTACCAGTATATCAATGTGAGAAAACATGGCAAAAGACATCAAAGTTAGACTCCATGAACTACTCAAACTGAACCTTTGTTGAAGCCTATGTCACTTATATCTAAGAATTTGTTGATGACGGTTTTGACTGAACCTTATGTCACTTACATCTAAGAGTTCATACATACAGTTTTGACGGAACCCTATGCCACTTACATCTAAGAGTTCATTGATAATTCACTTACATCTAAGATTTCATTGATGACAGTTTTGACTGAACCTTATGCCACTTACATCTAAGAGTTTGTTGATGATGGTTTTGACTGAACATTATGTCACTTACCTCTAAAAATTTGTTGTTGATGGTTTTGACTTAACCTTTTTCCACTTACATCTAAGAGTTCATTGATGACGGTTTTGACTGAACCTTATGCCACTTACATCTAAGAGTTCACTGATGACGGTTTTGACTGAACCTCATGACACTTACATCAAAGAGTTCATTGATGACGGTTTTGACTGAACCTTATGACTCTTACATCTATGAGTTCATTGATTTCGGTTTTGACTTAACCTTATGTCACTTACATCTAAGAGTTCATTGAATACAGTTTTGACTGAACCCTGTGTCACTTACATCTAAGAGATTGTTGATGATTCACTTACATCTAAGAGTTCCTTGTTGATGGTTTTGACTGAACCTTATGCCACTTACATCTAAGAGTTTGTTGATGATGGTTTTAACTGAACCTTAAGCCACTTACATCTAAGAGTTCATTGATTTCCGTTTTGACTTACATCTAAGAGTTCATTGAATACAGTTTTGACTGAACCTTATGACACTTACATCTAAGAGTTCATTGATTTCGGTTTTGACTTAACCTTATATCACTTACATTTAAGAGTTCTTTGATGACGGTTTTGACTGAACCTTATGCCACTTACATCTAAGAGTTCGTTGTTGATGGTTTTGACTGAACCTTATGCCACTTACATCTAAGAGTTCGTTGATGACGGTTTTGACTGAACCTTAAGCCACTTACATGTAAGAGTTCGTTGTTGATGGTTTTGACTAAACCTTATACCACTTACATCTAAGAGTTTGTTGATGACGGTTTTGACTGAACCTTAAGCCACTTACATGTAAGAGTTCGTTGTTGATGGTTTTGACTAAACCTTATACCACTTACATCTAGGAGTTCGTTGATGACGGTTGACCTGATATCCCCGGGGTCAGACTGGAGGTACACCGTGATGCTGGAGTTGGCGTCCTCCATGTTAAAGCTGTTTGTCTGGCAGTAACTCCACTGTTTAGGAATCTGGTACAATCTTCTCTACAAATACATATTTATAAAATCAAGTCAAACTTTCTAGTTGAATAAAGATGCTAGTCATATTTTGAAATCAAACTTATAGTTCATATTATTTTGACTTTATTGAGCATGTAAATATTTAAGTTTTAGCTATGCACACAGAACTTTGAATATAACATTATTTTATTATAGGGACCTTTTATCATTCTTCCTGTTCTTTAAAACATACACATTTTAATATTTCATTTATTGTCCGTCACATTTCTATTTACCTTGTACATTTTAGAAGGTTCCACTTTTCCACATAACTTTGATTCCACTCTCTCTTTATACCAAGTAGCCTCCTGCAAAGTAAGAATTTGATAAGTAAAATTCAGATCAATTGCAGTTGATATAAATTGACATCAATTACCACATGTAAATGAAAAAAGAAAAGTTGGGACACAGCGAATAAGCTAACCATTGACAGGAGTTGTTAGACCTTGATACTGCCCTTAACAGTACAGTTATCTTGGCCAGTTAATAAATAATCATGTATTAATTTTTATAGTGCATT